CCCTCCCTCCCACATCTCCTGAGAGAGCCTAGTCATTTCCATCGCATGCCCCTTTGCTCTTGCTTGTCTCCGCGTGCCTGATCTTCTTTTGTTTCTTGGCAGTGCCAGAATGGGCCTTCATTCAAGGCCTTACACAGGCCAGGCTGCAGTTCTCACCCCACTGTCACCTTGTCTCTTGTCTTGCTGGCTTTCTGGAGTGTCCTGCCCTGGCCCAGCACTCTGCCCACATGTCCCCTTTGATACAGTCACCTCCAGAGCAGCCTGTCATTAAGTACACTTCTGCCCCACCGCCCCGAAACCACTCTTCAGCGATCCGTATCCTCCGCTTGCCATTGGAGCAGCTGCCAGGCTGGAAGCCAGGTTCCTGGATGTGGCGCCTCTCCTCAGACGGCACAGCCAAGCAGCAGCCAGGCCTGCCCCATCTTCCTGCTTCCCAAGCCCCCTGCTCTGTCTCTCCGGGGTGAGCTCACGCTTTCCCGGCTATGCTTGTCTGTCTGATGCTGCCGAGTTCTCTGGGAATTAGAGGCTGCTGGGAGCTCACCTCCGGCCCCTTGTGTGGCAGAACCTTTTATGCCACCCTCCTTAGTCAGCAGGCCTGGAGTTGTCTTGTTTGGATTTGAAAGCTTCCTTGTTAACGTCTGACAAAAACACTAGTTCTGTGACCACATTTGTGGTGTTCGACCAGGTGTTTGGAGCCACGGATGATGGGGTCCCCCTGTGCCCTGCATACTCCTGAGTGTTGAGTGACTGTTTGGGGCCGGGGGGTGGGGACAGTTACGGCGTTCCTGATTTCAGAGCTGGGAGGATCACACAGACCCAGACTATGGAGTTGTAAGTTCCTCATTGATGGGCAATGGCGCAGTGGAGACTTTTCACACAAAGATTCATAGAAACCCTCAAAGGGGAAGTGAGCCCTGCTTGTGACTGTTTTGTTTTGTTTTGTTTTCCCCCCAAGACACTTCTCTTGAAAGGGGCCTGAAAGAGAGCGATTTACCGGGAAAAAAACAAGTGCCTTTTTAGCCATGAGGCTGGGGACTGACTTGGGGGTCATCTGTGTGATGACCTTGGTGGCTAGTTGATCCCTGTCATGGACCGTCTGATTAGTCACAGAGACACATAAATTATCTGGCAAGGTTTGCAGGTGGGTGGAACATCAGTGAGGCGCATGGTTCTGAGATTCATTTTCAAGGCAGGAATCTTAGCCAACAGTTACAGATCTGGTTCTTCTTGTTTTCTTGTTGCTCATGCCCAGTGCTTTTATTTATTTATTTTTTTCTCTGCCTCGGAGTTTCTTGCAATGCTCTTGTCTGTTGAGCAAATGAAGTGTGAGAGACAGCTTTGCTCATGGACTTCATTTTCTCGTCACTCCTCAGTGTATGTCTGTGTTACTTATCATGTTTCATGGAAATACAGCGCTCCTCTCCATCCTCCCCATTTCTGTCAAGGACCAGCCCCACCCCTTCCACTCCCCTCCCTAGCCCCCCTCCAGTCCAGACTTTCCTCTGCATCTGCAGCATCTGGGCTTCTGGCACACAGGCTCATGCCTTTGGGTTGTTTGTTCCTCCCTTCTGTTGTTTCTGTGGACATTTGCCTGAGTTCAAAGTTGGGCTGGGGAAGCAGCTGTCCTGTGGAGCCACCTAATTTGGTGGCTTTTCCTCTCATTCCCATCTCTTTCAACATCACACTCACGCTGCTGGGGTGCAGATGTCTTCCTTGACTTGGGAGTTCGGATAGACTTCCTTTTGGGTGAGTTTCTTTCTGAGAGGCAGGTAGGTGGATGCTGTTTTTCTAGAACACAGTCACATTACGTGAATGCCAGGAAGGGCTCACCTCACTGAAGGTACCTGTAGTGGATCCTTCTCTTGGTAAAGTCCATAGAGCATTTGCTGCCTTCCCAGGGTGCTCATCCCTCCCATGTTTAAACCAGAATCCTCCAACCAGTCAGTGTGTCATGTGATGTCCTGACTCCATCCCCCTGTACTCTTTTTACACACTCAGCACAAAGGAAGTTTCCTCATGGCAAGGACTTCCCAAAGATGAGCTGATTGGTCAGAGGACCTTTCACAGGGTGCATGGCATAGGTAGGGAATCTGAGTGGGTGGTAGAGAGAGGAGAGGGTTGGATGTCCATGTGAACTCATAGGTCTGTTGTGGCTTGGGGCCTGGGTGCCCTCAGGTCAGGGGGAGCCCCCTGCCCACTAGCTGTGTGTCCTCGAATGCCCAGAGTCGGCCTCGAGAGGCAGCGCCTTTGGCAGCCTATTCCCGTCACCTCACAGCGTGGACGACACGGCTGTGAGTTGTATTTTCTTTTTCTAAAACTGGGATGAAGCTTGGAACAGCAAATATTTAATCAGAGCAAATTCCTTTGGCCAAGTCCAGCCAGCTTATTCCACGTGAAGGTTCTTTGGCCTAAAAATACTGGCCACTGAAGGCGTAGCTGAGGAAGTGGCCCACAAAGCAGAAAGCAAGTCTGGGTCGCCAGATCAGGGGCTCCTCCACCTGTGTTGGTTGTGGACAGGAGCAGACGGCCGCAGACAGCCGCCCTCGGAAGATGCCCAGGGCCTCTGGGAGTCAACAGGGCAGAGGACTAGGGGGAGAGGGCTGATAGGATGGAGGCTCAGGGCTTTGGGGTGGTGCCTCAGGAGTAGGAAAATGGGTTGGGGCAGGAGCCAGAGGTGACTGAAAGGGCTGCTGTTCCTGGTGTGTCAGTGTGGGGTGGGGCACCTTGAGGCAGCACCCCCAGACGGGGAGAGGAGATGGAGGGAGGAGTTTGGTGAGGTTTAGCACGCAGTAAGGTCTGTATGAGTAAGGCAGCCTCAGGAAGGAGGGGCTGCAATTCTGCCCTGAGTAGAACTTTACACTCATGGCCATTTGGCTTCCTTGTTACCTGGTTCAGAAAACTTCCTCTTGTCTGGACCTGGGGGGACCCCCCCAAGCAGTGCATAGGGGAGGCCAGAGGTCACTCATGCTACTTGGCTGAATAGGTCCAGTAGGTCTCAGTAGTTGGACCTGGTGATGCTTGAACCATCCAGGGGGGCCGCATGGTGCTGGGGTTCAGATGCAGGCCCCAGGCAATGCATAGCAATTGTGCCTGACTTCTGACCTAGCCCCCAGTGTGAGTATTGGTTTTTAGAAATAGGAGTCATTCCGAGCAGTGCTGGGGCCCTCATGTCCACGCTCAGTGGGTCGGGGTGATGGGGACCCATGTGTCACTAGGGATTCAAACTTGGGGACCAAAGTCACCTGCAAGCCCTGTGCTCTGCCAGTTGAACCGTCTCCTGGGCCCTCAGTAACTGAGTTCCAGCACGTTCCACCACAGCCACAAATATTACCTTCTCTCCTTGCCTGCTCGGGCCACTTCCTGCACCCCGTATCTCATCCTCAGGCTGCTTGTTTGCAGCACCGAGAGCCCCTCAGGGGGTCCTAGGTGCCCTCCACACTGTTCTTTCAGTTTGGGTCTTTGTCCTCTCAGCTGTGCTCCCCACGACAGACAGTGCATTAAAACTTAACAGCAGAACCTAACCCACCCCACCGCCCTTGGTTCTTGTCCTCTGCACTTTCCTGTTGGCTTTAAGTTCCACACAGAGTCTATGTCTTCCTTTCCACCAGAGCAGTCACTGGAGAGCTGTCTGGGGAGCGCAGGTCCATGGAGAGCACCGGGCCCCATCTCCTTCCTCCCTGGCGCAAGCTCCGCTCTCTCATTGCAGAAAGCATTCCCGAGAAAGCACATCAGGGAGTCTGGGGAGACAGGACAATGGTCCAGGATGAAGTGAGGAGCTGCTCTCTGAGGAAGAAAGATAGTCCTGGCCTCTGCCCAGGGTTATCATCCATCCTCGCAGAAAGGGATTTCAGAAAGAGGAACCATGAACTAAAATATCTTTGTTTGGGAAATATGAAAATGCGAGGAGAGAAAGTGGGAGGGGACACGGATATCTCAACTCGAGAAGAAGTGACACCAGGCCCCGACAGCTGGGGGAAGCGCCTGACCCGCTTCTGCAGAAGTTAGTTTGACGGTATCACCTTTTCTCCCCAGACTCTCTCACTCGGGGCTTTCTGTGTAGAGATTCTTTTGTCAATTGCTGTCAAGTGGGAGAGCTGGGGACTTCTGAGGGTCTCTTCCATGTTCCTTTTTTGGGCTGGTCACATCTAGTGTGACTTTATGCTCAGGGATCACTTCTGGTGGGTTTATGGGAGACATGTGTGGTCCTGGGGATCAAATTCCGGTTTGCCAGCCTGCAAGGCGAAACCCGCCCTATCATCTCTCCATGTTCTTACCTCAGTCTTTGATTCTGCCTCTTTAGGCCCACCAGACTCTTATTTTTTTAAATTTTTGTTTTTTTTGTTTGGGGACTATACCCAGAGATGCTCAGGGCTTACTCCTGGCTCTATGCTCATGGGGCCGTTCTTGACAGTGCTCGGGGGACCAAACAGGATGCTGGGGATTTCACCCAGGTTGGCCACGAGCAAGGTAAGCATCTTACCTGCTGACCTGTTCTCCAGCCCCCCAGCCCTGCTCCTGACCTCTTTTTTGCATCTCAGAGGCCTCATTGACAAAGGGCTGGTTTGGTTTGGAGACCTGGGGAGTGAGTTTTTCTAATCCACATTGCCAGGGCCTTACTTGGCTGCCTACCTGCAGCCAAGTTAACTCTCTGGAGGTGGGTCTGAGGTCTTGGTTTGTGAATAAAGGAAGTAGTTCACTTTGTATTCTGTATGTTTATGCATTTCAAGAAAAATACATGTCACAAGAATATATTTTTTTTTTGCTTAAGTATGATTTATAAAAGTATTCTGATGCTGAAGTTTTGTGATTATTCAGGGCAAGTAAAAGCTGAGAATTGAGAATTTTATTTGAGAATTGGAGTGAAACCTCTGGCAGCCTGATGCTCTCTCCCTGGGATTTGGGCTTGTAGGCTGGGGTGCGGGAGGCCCCAACTGTCTCTCCTCAAACCCCCTTTTCATGGAGGATGTTGTAACAGAGTGTTCCCTCTTTTCTGAACCCAGATTCCCTTTTTTGAAGACATCTGTAAAGGCATCAAGGCAGGCGACAGCTGTGAGAAGCTGGTGGGGTACTCTGCCGTGTACAGTGTCTGCTTCGGCATGGCCTGTTTCTTCTTCTTGTTCTGCCTCCTCACCTTCCAGATCAACAACAGCAAAAGCTGCCGGGCCTATATTCACAACGGGTAAGCGCCTTCCCTGTCAGCAGCGACCCCAGCCCCGGTCCTCCAGTCTCAAACTGGCTTATTTGACCCACCCCTCGTGTGTGTGTGGAGGGGAGTCACTCAGCACCCTCTGAAAATCTGTAGCACTTTACTATCCTCCCCTTGTTCATCAATTTGCTCGAGCGTGCACCAGCAACATTTCCATTGTGAGGCTTGTTACTGTTTTTTGACACATCGAATATGCCACGGGGAGTTTTCCAGGCTCTCCGAGAGGAACAGAGGAATCGAACCTGGGTTGGCTGTGTGCAAGGCAAACGCCCTACCCACTGTGCTATTGCAATGATGGGAAATCTACCTTCTGTAAAGTGAGCAAAACAGAAATCTGAGGGCCCAGTGTGTGTGTTGGGTTGTTGTTCTAGCACCCCCATGGGGACCCCGGGGAGCCTGCTCTGGCTGCTCTTCTCCAGTTGAGAACTGAGGTCAGGAAAAGGGGCCCTAGGCGGGATTGCGAATCCACTTGGTGGCCCCATGGTGTCCCAGTGAGCACTGTGGTGTAGAGGGCATCCGTTTCTGCTGCCAAGACCTGCTCTCTGCCTATGGTTCCTGCCTCTCCTGGGCGTGTGGCATCGGCAGAGGCTGTCTAATTAGGGAGGACGGCAGCTCCCAGTCACTTAATTACTTCCCCTCCATTTGGAGAGAACATTAGCGGGTGGGTGGAATCCTGACTCGGCAAGCATCCCCTCTCAGAGGGCCTTTGTCTGTCCTGGAATATCATTTAAATACATTTCCGGTGTGGTGTTTGAGTTTTGTTTTCTCTTTCCAGCTTTTGGTTCTGTAAATTCCTGCTGTTGGGGGCCATGTGCTCAGGAGCCTTCTTCATTCCAGACCAGGAGACCTTTCTGAATGGTATGGTTGGGGGAAGCTGGCCTTTATGGTTTGGTTTCTTTTTTCCCATTCTGTAAAATTGGTCAAGGGCGTACTCCAGGGCGCCACGGGTATTTCCAGTGTCTTAATGGACGCTTTTTCCTGCCTTCTCTACTCACACTATACAACCCTGCCTCCTTCCCTCCTCTGTTCTCCCAATTCTCCTTGCCTTCCCTTACCTGCTCTGCTGCTGGGGGGTTCGAGGGCGGGGGCAATTGGAACCATTTTAAGGCCCGAAGGGAAAGCAGGCACTGAAACCTGTATGAAAACTGATTCAAGCGTGAAACGTGGTTGGTTATTTCAGAGTGAAAAATGCTGAAAATAGTTGCTCCAGACCAGAAAAAAATTTATAGAAGCGCAAAGGTGGAAAGAAACACCCTTTTGGAGAAATTTAGCAAACTTAGGCTCAGTTAGGGTCCAGGGTCATTATGTAGCTGCTTCTAAAGCTACATTGAGTCTTCGTGTTTCTAATTAAGCCCTAGGCTGAGAATAGAGGATTCCCCTTTATTTCCCAGGATGTTCTGTTCTTTTAGGGCCCCTTCATGTTGATAAATATGACTCACACCCTGTATTTCCAATCAGACTGGTGGGGCTTTGATCTTCCTCAGAAGCTTCTGCTTTAGAGTCTTGGTATTTGCCTCAGTAAGAGCCTGCTGCTGCCTTTTGGCCTTCCTTCAGCTTTGAGCTGATCCAAGGACTGGAGAATAACTTGCCCTTTTGTTTCAGGGTGTGCCCTTGGGAAACTGTTACCTCCCTCATGGCCCAGGAAATTGCCGGAGTGTTGAGAATATAGGATAGTTCTAACTAAGGGCTCATGGTCCATGGGAATCTGAGGCTTTCTCCCTCAGAAACAGTTCAGCACATCAGTTTAGGACGCCACCAGTGCAGGGGGTGGGGGGTGGGGGGAGTGCAGGGTGAGGGGGCAGAGGACCTGCTCCTGGTGCATGGTGACTCTGGACGGGAGGGTCTGCTGCAGCTGCCTGGCCGTCACTGAGCCCTAGCCCTTCCCGAGAGCACCTCTCCACATCGGTGTGACCCATGGGCCCCTTCTTCAGATGAGCACAGTTCACATTGCAGTGGGCTCCAATACCGGTCATCCCAAAGGGATCCACTTCCCTCATGAAGACACTTTCCCGCATTGTCGCAGGATCTTGGGAAGAACCCAGGGCTCTCGCTCACAAAACTTCTGGAGTAGGATCCATCCACATAGCAGAGCGCCTGCTTCTTCAGACTGGGTCCAGAACAAGGGCAAGGCTGGGCATGGATACTTTAGGAAGGTCAGCCAGAAGGGCAGGACCTGGGGGGACAGATGAGAAAGGACCCATCAGGGAAACAGATAGCTTGGGGAGTACAAGGAAGGGTGATCTAGGAAGGACCAAGGCTTTTAGCATCATCTCTCAGTCGGGGACTCCCCCAATCCCTCACCCTGATGCCACATTTCTGGTACCCCTGGCACCAGCCTTAGTCCTTCAGATACTCTTATGTCATTGATGTTTCATGTAAATACTTTTTGTTTATTTTTACTCCTTATGGAGGCCATATCCAAGTTCAGCTTTAGATTACCTTATCTATGAGTTTTCTTTTTTTCCTTTCCTTTTCTTTTCTTTTCTTTCTTTTTTTTTTTTTAACTTTTAGGGTCACACCTGGAGATGCTCAGGGGTGAGTTGTGACTCTGCACCCAGAAATTACTCTGGGCATTGCTTGGGGGACCAGATGGGATGCTGGGGATTGAACCCGGGTCATCCACGTGCAAGGCAAACGCCCTACCTGCTGCTGTCCTATCACTCCAACCCCACCTATTAGTTTTCTGTGTCCACTGAAGCACCTTTGATGTCTGGGTACATCAAAGGCTAGTTGATAAATAAAGTGCAATATGGGCATAGCCAGTGACCTAAATGTCCAGGGAAGAACCTGAGCTTTCTGTGTTGGAGTTGGAGGTGGGATCCAAATCCTTGGCCCCTCTTTCCCTGAACCTCACTTTCTCCCTGGACATTGGTGGCTCTCTGAATACCGTTGGGATATCTGGCATAGACCACCTGGCACGAAGGCCCCAGAACCAGAGCACGTTCTCCTCCCGGCTCTAGCCTGTACTGAGCCCAAACTTATAGATTCTAGTTTGGGTGAGCTGGGGATTGAAATATTACAGACACAGGGAGCAGGAGGGGGGAATGAGGTATAGTCAGTCCCCTCCTTGAGCTAAACTCTTGAACACTGACCTCATCTCCTTTCGCCCTGTGATTTTTTTTGCAGCCTGGCGCTACGTGGGGGCCGTTGGAGGTGTCCTCTTCATAGGCATCCAGCTCCTCCTGCTGGTGGAGTTCGCACACAAGTGGAACAAGAACTGGTAGGTGTGGGTCTTCCCCAAAAGCCAACTTCAGTCAGTGCACGGTTCCTAATGGCTCAGCAGTCCCCGTGGCTCACAACTGCCTCTGACCGTCACATTTGCTCTTTGGACCCTTGGTTTGTGCCACCCTCCACACATACACACTGGGTTTCTCCTTTCTGTCACTCCCTCTGCCCTCCTTACTTGGTGACTCTTTCTCCCCCAGTGTGCTGTCCTTTGGCGCTAAGTCAAGGATGGCCATCCCTGAGCTATACCAACACCCTGCTGGGGTTGTGGTTGTACCTGAACATTTGGGGAGGCTTTAGGCCTTGTCTCCCCATCCCTTGGAGTTTAAACAACACCACCACCACAAAAGAGGACTGGGAAGATGGCTCGAAACAGTGGGACTTTTGAGGACAAAACCCTTGAATATATGTGTGTGTGTGTGTGTCTTCCGAGGAGGGGTGGTTTTAACCACACTTGATTGTGCTCAGGTAGCACTCCTGATGATGTTCAAGGCATCATGTGGGTGCTGGGAATTTAACTGGTGTCAATAGAAAGTACAGAAGTGACTTAACATCTACACTCTTGCTCTCGGTCAAAGACCCTGAGTTTGATCCCCATCACCACATGGCTCTTGAGCATCGGTAGCCCTGGTGTTCTCTGACCACTGCCGGGTAGGACCCTCTAAAAAATTAGGACGAAGAGCACAGGGGGCAAGATACGTGGCCTGCACATGGTCAGCTCCTTCTCCATCCCTGGCACTGCCCTCCTCCCCCCAGCTCAGAGCCAGGAATTGCCCTAAGCACTGCTGGGTGTGGCTCAGATCTTCCAAAACACTAAGTAACAAGGGCTGGGAATAATACTCTGTGCTGCAACACTCGCCTCGCATGTGTGAGGTTCTAGGTTTAAACCCCCAGCACTGCAAAACAGACTCATACAAAGTGACTAGGTTGTTAGGAAATTGAAAGTTCACTTTTTTTTTTCTTTTTGGGTCACACCCGGTGATGCACTGGGGTTACTCCTGGCTCTGCACTCAGGAGTTACTCCTAGCGGTGCTCAGGGGACCATATGGGATGCTGGGAATCGAACCCAGGTCGGCTGCATGCAAGGCATACGCCCTACCCGCTGTGCTATCTCTCCAGCCCCCTGAAAGTTCACTTTTAAAAATATGTGATGGAATGGGTCTGAATTAAAAATTTTTGTTGTTTCTTCTCAACTGCCTGAATGTGGAAAGACCCTTCTTTAGGAGATTCTGTACTATTTTAGAATATATTTCTTCACTGGAAAAATGGCACAACAGATTCTAAGTGCCTTGAAAATGGAATTTGCATTCCAGGATAAATGGGAAATGCCAGCTTACCTAGTTGATTTCTTGCTGAACTACACTGAGGAAGGGACAGTGAGATGGGGTATATCACAATTGAAGGTCAAGGGGTCTCTTATGTGACTCTGGGCAGAGCCCTCAGCTACTCTTTATTCTGTCTATAAAAAATGAATCAGAGTCACAAATGCCCATTTCATACAGCAAAGCTGTTTCTTTGTAGATTTTATAGGCATCGTGGTTTTTTTTCTTGTTTTCTTTTTAGTTTTTGGGCTACACTGGTGGTGCTAAGGCTTACTCCTGGCTTTGTGTTCTGAAATCTCTCCTGGCTGTCCTCAGGGAACTGTTATGTGGTGCTGGGGATCAAGCTGCAAGCAAGGCAAACACTCTACCTGCCGTACTGTGGCTCCATGCCAAGTATGTCCTCTAGCCTGAGCAGAAGCATCATTTGCTGTGAAGTTCTCTTGCCATTCTTTTTTTCTTTCTCTTTCTTTCTTTCTTTCTTTCTTTCTTTCTTTCTTTCTTTCTTTCTTTCTCTTTCCTTGCTTGCTCTTCCTTCCTTCCTCCCTCCCTCCCTCCCTCCCTTCCTTCCTCCCTCCCTCTTTCCTTCCATCCTTCCTTCCTTCCTTCCTTCCTTCCTTCCTTCCTTCCTTCCTTCCTTCCTCCCTCCCTCCTTCCCTCCTTCCCTCCTTCCCTCCTTCCCTCCTTCCTTCCTTCCTTCCTTCCTTCCTTCCTTCCTTCCTTCCTCCCTCCCTCCTTCCCTCCTTCCCTCCTTCCATCCTTCCTTCCTCCCTCCCTCCCTCCCTCCCTCCCTCCCTCCTTCCCTCCCTCCCTCCTTCCCTCCTTCCCTCCTTCCTCCCTCCCTCCCTCCCTCCCTCCTTCCTTCCTTCCTTCCTTCCTTCCTTCCTTCCTTCCTTCCTCCTTCCTTTCTTTTCTTTTTCTTTGTTTCTGCCTCTGACCCTAGGGTCATATTTATATGCTTCTGGAAACTTAAAAACATTTTTTTTTTAAACTAAAGTGCTTCATGATTGGGTTTCAGACATAAAATCTTTCAACACTGATCCTCTCACCAGTATCCACTTTCCTACATCAATGTCTTCCCCTTGCTGTCCCTGGTTCACTCTGGATTCTTTTGAGATCTTATAAATCTTTCACCTTTTCACCCACCATTCTTACTGCAGGATTCCTGGAAGAATTTTAAAGCAACCAAACTCTTCCAAAATGCCTGTTAAAACCTGGCACTGATAACTAGGCCTGGAAAATGGCATCATGATCAATCAGAACATAAAAGCACAAAGAAAGCACAAATATTCTCAAGAGAATGGAGCACTTAATGGCCAAATCAGGCACTTAGTATCAACGATATTAATATTTTACTATGAAGTTCCTGTGTGACGTGTATTTGTGGGAATTTTAGGAAAAAAAATCTAGAATCTCATACTGATTTTATGTAATAAAAAAATTGAGAGTGGAACTACATGGAGCACAAAGCCAGTTTTTGTCTATTCTTGGTTGATTTGTCTGCCTGAGATTAGAATTAACCTGAGAAGCTCTATCCAAATACTGTTAGCTTTCAGTGAAAATTCTTGTAATTGAGCGGGACTTTTCTTTACCAGACCACATCCTCCAAAGTTAATCTGAACTCGACGCTCATCACCTGTCATGGACACGCAACATGCCTCCCCTCCTTTCTCTCTCTATTTGTAAAGCTCTCTTGAGAGAGAATGAGAAGATCTCAAAGGCAGTGGGAAAGATGTGACAGCTTTGTCCCTCTTCCTCCCCTGCTTTCTTGCCTGGGTTTTGAGGGGTCTCGGGCACAGTAAACAAGGCAGGTGCGCTAACACTGAGTGTCTGCTGTGGTTTTTCCTTTTCATTCGAGTTGACAAGTACTTTATCTGCTCCGGTGGGCTTTTCACCACCCTTCCTTTTACCATCGCTGTGATGACTGGTACTTGATTGTGCCATCTGGATCCTGCTGGCAGTACTGTGAGGACCACACTGCACGTGATGGGCGGTGCCAGGCATCAGCTGCAGCTGTCCCTGGGCACCTATTCAGGTGTTGCTAATAAAGCCCCATTTTCTGAATGTGCTCGGGCTGTAATTCTTGTTATTTTGTTCTTGTTATTTTGGATTTTGTTTACTTATTTTTGTTTTGGATTTTGTGAGCTTTTTTTTTTCTTTCTTTTTTTTTTTAGGAGGGGGTCACACCCACCACTAGCAATAGATGCTCTGGGGTTACTCCTGGCTCTGCAGACAGAAATTACCTCTGGTAGTGCTCGGGGACCATATGGGTTGCTGGGGATTGAACCGAGTTTGACCACATGCAAGGCAAATGCCCTATCCACTGTACTCTAGCTCCCTAGATTTTGTTAACTCTTAACCCTCACTCTCACCCTGCCAACACTCGCAAACTGCTTCCTACTTGACTGTTCATCCATTCATCCGGCCTTTTCTCCTGGTGCTCAGGCTTACTCCTGGCTCTGTGCTCAGGGATCATTCGTGATAGACTCGGGAGACCACATGTAATGCCAGGGATTAAACTCGGGTTGGCTGTGAGCAAAGCAAGCTTGCTGTACTACTTGCTGTACTAACTCCTCGGTCCCTTGCCTCCTCCATCCTTGCCTCTAATCTCCATCCACATCCTTCTCATTCAGCCTGTTTTCAGTTTTTGGAGTATTATCCGTATGCCCGACATGTGGCAGGCACTGAGAGTTTGAAGGTACATGTCATGGAGCTGTCTGCAAATACATGTTACCCGAAGGACAGAAGCACTTGGGAGCAACCCTACTCCTGTGGTCGCACAGAGGGGGTTTCTAGTGTGAGGATCCTTGTTCTAATGTGTGCTGAGCGCCTGTTTCCCAGGTACAGGCAGTCAGAGGATAGCTGTGAACTCCATGGCCTCCTGCTCTGTAGGGGAGGAGACAGATCGCTGTCATATGACCAGGGAATAAGTGATGAGCTCAGTGATGTACAGCGGGCTGGAGAATGTGGAATGGGAGGTGGGGGGGGGAGCTGGGCAAGAAAGGGCTCAAGGTGCCCTGTGAGGGGGAAGGTCCAAGCAGTATGGGACAGGGCCTGCGGGGCACTGGCTGCAGGGGGAGAGCCACGTGACCTGGGCCAGGTGAGGGTGGCAGGCAGCGTCTGGTTCGTTGTGGATCTGGAGTTAGTAGAATTGGCTGAGGGGGTTGTCATGGTGCTGGTGGGGGCTGGTGTGTGTGGGGTGAACAAGAAAGACAGCAAGAGCAGCCGTGACCCCTCCCTTCCCCCAAATGTGCATTCACGCTCACACGTGGACTCGCCACATTTTGCAGGTCACGAGCTCATGGAGGAGCAGGTTTAGGGGGTGCAGGTGTTTGAAGTCAGTGGGGGCCCTGCCAAGTTTGAGAAACTGATTCGAACTCCAGATGAGATGTTTAGCAGTTGGATAATGAGTCTGGAGCTCAGCAAAGAGATGAGGGTCAAAGGGTTACTCTGGGGGTGGTAAGCATGAATTAATGATTTAATGACCGTTCACATAGTAATAACCTAAAAGGCTTGTGAAGAAGTGATTGGACACTGTCCCCCCTCCACCGCCCCACCTGTCTGTGTCATGCTCCCTCCTATCTGCCCTGGTCTGCTGGCCTGCCACAGGCCTTTGTCTGCGGAACTCATCTGCTCCCTGGCACCGAGGGTGCTTTGGCTCTCTTCTTTTTCCCTTTCTCTTCCTGCTCATTTCCTTTGCATACCTTTAATGCTTGAATAATTCTTTGGGTCGCAGGCGTGGCCTGGCTTGCTTTCAGGAATATGATGGTCATGAACATACTGGCCTTCCCACCCTCTTTTCTTTGTCTCTGGCCAAGGTAATCTTCTCATCATTAAAGCATTCTCACGGGGTTGCTTCAGTACTTGGCTGTTTTGTGAAAGCATTAATAAGTGGCTTTCTCAGAGAATGTGGCCACAAAGGGCACTTCTCTCAGAAGGCAGAGGACACTGAGGCAGTTCAGTCTCCTATTGTTCTGTCCCCCTCATTGCTCATTTGCAAACTCTTTGTTCTGGACAGTTTCTGGAGATGACAACTTGCCACTTGCCTGTGCCACCCCTCCCCCCATATTAATTTGAGAGTTAACTAGAAAACAAGTTAATTTCTTTTTAAGCCCTATAAAAATTCTTACTTTTTCCAGACTGATTTTCTTCTCCCCTCCCTCCCTCCCTCCCTCCCTCCTCCTCCTTCTTTCTTTCTTTCTTTCTTTCTTTCTTTCTTTTTTATTTTTTTTTTATGCTTTTTGGGTCACACCCAGCGATGCACAGAGGTTACTCCTGGCTTATGCACTCAGGAATTACTTCTGGCGGTGCTTTGGGGACCATATGGGATGCTGGGAATCGAATTGCCTTGCATGAGGCCAACCCGCATGCCTTGCATGAGGCCAACCCGCATGCAAGGCGGGTTGGCCTCATGCAAGGCAAACGCCCTCCCTGCTGTGCTATCATTCCAGTCCCTCTTTCTTTCTTTCTTTCTTTCTTTCTTTCTTTCTTTCTTTCTTCCTTCCTTCCTTCCTTCCTTCCTTCCTTCCTTTCTTTCTTTCTTTCTTTCTCTTTCTTCCTCCCTTTCTTCCTTTCTTTCTTCCTTTATCATCTTACCCTTAGTCATACTTGGCTTCTTTGGGAGCCCTTGTTTTAGGACGCGGATCGTGATCTCCCTTTTAGGACAAAGAGACTCCAGAGACTGCAAACAGCAAGCAAGGTTTATTGTAAGACTGGCTAGCTAGGGTCGAGCCACCTATGCAGACACGCAGGTTGGGCAAGACCCTGAGCTTCTTCAAAGGAGATCTTATATAGGCCTTCACTGGCCATTACAGCAGAGCCTGCACATTTCATGGCCAATAGATTCGTAATAACGTATACTTTTTTTTAACCAGTCCATTTAAAAGCACATCACTCCTTAGCCTATAGATTCAAAGATCAGCATTTATGTACATGAGCATTGTGGCTAGCAGGTATCTTATAACTCAGACATCTTGTTATCTTCTGTGTCTACCCGGCTCCCCGTGATTTATACCTCAGGACACCTGCATTCCGGTGTAGGGGGATGAGGGGAGAGTTACTAGCCCAGGGACAGATAAGGAAGCTTCAACTGTGGAGGCAGGATTTACATCTCAATTAAGAAGAGTCAACAATGGAGGCAGGATTTACAGCTCAGGGCTTTACTAGGGAGGGGGCAGGATTTACATCTCCAGGCTTAAGAGGGGGGGGGGGGGGGGGGGGAAGAGTTACTAATTAGCAGAGTTTAGCTCTGGAATTTCCCTCAGGGTCCCATGGGACCTTACACTTCTGTCCTCAGTTTTATTCCTGGGACAGGAAGGAAAACCTGCCTTCCCCCTAATGAGCAAGCGAGCATCAGCAAGAGGGAGAGGGTGTGAATCTCTGAGTGTGAATATCTGAATGTGAATCTCTGGATTTTGTGTGTTTGGGAAAACTGAAAGAGAAGAACAGACAAGAGCAACCTCTCATCCTGCCCAAACCTGTATAATTCAGATTCACAGTGGAGTGAATATTCATTCTTGCTGTAGAACCAACTCATGGGTGGAATTCTCTATTTAGAAAGTGAATTGCACGGTGATCCGAGCCTTGTAGCTTTGATACAGCACCATCACTGCGATTCTGCTAGAAAACACAGTTGTGGCGGGCCAGGCTGTGACAGCCTGAGTTCATCCCCATGGCAGAGGCTAAGTGGTGTCAGACAATCACTGACTGTTCTCTTCCCTCCCTCTTGCCCACCTTCTGGGGAAACAGGACTGCAGGTACAGCGACCAACAAGCTGTGGTACGCCGCTCTGTCCCTGGTGACACTCGTCATGTATTCCGTCGCCGCTGGGGGCTTGATATTGATGGCGGTGTTTTACACTCAGAAAGATGGCTGCACAGAGAACAAAATCCTGCTCGGGGTCAACGGGGGCTTGTGCCTGCTCATTTCAATGGTTTCCATCTCGCCCTGTGTCCAGAATCGTAAGCACAGTTTTTGCCTTTTGTTTTTCGTCTCCCACTCTTCCTTAAGTATATTTTCTGCAAGTGTCTTTGAGCAAGCTGTTTCTATAGCTAGCTAGAGTATTTTGAAATTACGGTCTTCCCTCAGCTTATTCTGGAGCAATAGGAAAGGTGAGAATTTGATGATGTCCCCTGCATCCCACACTTGGACTGAACGTGATCATCAAACATGCGTGATACTCAACCAGCATCTGGATGTAGTGAGGAGATGTAATCAAGGTGGGGAAAGATGTGATCAACACTCAACAATGTACATCAAGGAGTCTCGAAATGTCAAATGTCGCCAGTGCATATCATCCTTCACACAGCGCCTGTGGGCTGGTAGTTGGGGCCAGCCTGGTGGATGAGTCAGAAAGTGGAATATCTGATGCCTGCCCAGCCAGCCACAGGCTCCAGGAGAGAAACCTGCCTGAGCAACTGAGCAAGTTCTTTGTCAGTGAAGCTGACAGAAAACTGAGAGCCAGGCCTTAATCAGCAGGAAGAGACACTGGGATTTGAAAGTGCTCTAAACAGGATAGGTCTGACTGGTCTTCTCTGAACAGTTTCTCTAGAATGCCCCTAATATAATGTTCCTTGCAGGTATCTTATTCTCCAGGTGATGAAAATACATGACCTTCAGGTTTCTAGATTGAAAAAAGGAAAATGTGCCTGATAAATTTTAGCCCCTCGAATTCTTTCCAAAGTGGTGATTTAATGGGGCAAGTGTTTGAATAAAAGCTTTTCTGTATTAAAAATTCCAAGTCTTGGGACTGGAAAGACAATACAGCCAATATAGCCCTTGCCTTGCACACAACCAGCCCGGGTTCGATCCTTGCATCCCTGAGCACCTCCAGAAGTGATCCCTGAGAGCAGAAGCAGGAGTAACTCCTAATCATTGCCAGGTGTGGCCCCCAAGCCCCAAAATAAATAAATTCCAAATCTGTGCCTGGGGCATGTGACTTATTCTTCAAATGTATGCTTTGTACACATGAGGCCCTAGGTTCATTCCCTGCCGCCACCTCCCCCCCAAAAAAATTCAAGTCCACTACCAAAATTAAGACTATTTTTCTCTCATCCTTTTAGTCAGTTAAGAATTACCTAAAACACTGTTATTATTTAAAATATATTTTGAGTTGTACTCTACCTTTTAACATAGGTAATGTTTTGAGAAATTTGGTTTAATAACATTTTGTTACTAAAACATAAGTTTTATTCTCATGTCAAGAGCAGTGTTGTATAAGGATCTGTTTCTCTTTCACAGTACAAACAAAATATAAATGAAACCTCTTTTTATCATAGTCGGTAACTCTGAATGATCTGAACATGTAGATTAATTTGAGTATTTTTGACATCAAAACTCTCCTCCTGTGAATGTTAAGCCCCATCTCCTCCTTACTCGTCAGAACCAGCTCTGGTATTCCCAAGAGTTTTTCCCATTAATCTTTAATCCATTTCTCTTGTGTAGACTATTAATACCTGATGCTATGTAGTCTCTGGAACCCATGCACTGTGATACCTTTCATTCACCCACTAGGACTATTGTGATTTCACAAATTATGGTACATTTCTTTCCAAAATTATATGATTTAATTAAAAACTGGTATTAATACAATTCAGGAGAATTGGGGACAGTATATTTATTAAATACACTTAGAGTTATCACTGAAATAAAGTTTTGAGAGAGACATCTTGCAAATAGATATCAACCTAGGGTAACTTCCTTCCCTTCAACATATTTTTAATATTGTCCGAGAACATGATAGCCTTCTTTTTAAGATCTGAGTTTGAGGGTGGGGACCCTTTAAAAAATTTTAGGTGCTTTCTTCATGTCCAAATTTAAAATACAGGCCTGGGAATGGAGCTCAAGGGGAAATGGGGACATTGATGGAAGGTCACACTGGTGGTGGGATTGGTGTTGGAACTTTGAATGCCTGGGACATCTATATTTTAAACAACTTTGGAGATCATGGTAATTTAATAGACATTAAAAGGAAAATAAACCTGTGTCTCAGGCATGGTCTGTAGAGAGGCCGCGGAGCACTTGGGATATTCACCTTTCTTGTCTTTTCCAGGGCAGCCACACTCTGGGCTCCTGCAGTCGGGCCTCATCAGTTGCTACGTCACCTACCTCACTTTCTCAGCTCTGTCCAGCAAACCCGTGGAAGTCAGTAAGTCAGTCTTACTGGAGCAGACATATGCTTCAGCCTCCAGCACTTTGATTTGTGGGAAAAGAAATTTGTCTTTCTGTTTTTTTTGTTTTTGTTTTTGCTTTTTGGGTCATACCTGGCTATGTACAGGTGTTACTCCTGGCTCTGCACTCAGGAGTTACTCCTGGCGCTGCTCGGGAGACCATATGTGATGTGAGAATCGAACCTGAGTTGGCCGTGTGCAAGGCAAATGGCCTACCTGTTATGCTATCTGCTCCAGCCCCGAAGTTTGTCTTTTTGAACAATTTAAATGTCAGAGAGTCAAATTAAAAAGAGACGATGATCTTGCATTTATTAAATAAGGGCCTTAGCATGGGATATAAAAGTGAAAAGTCCTTACATATATTGCAAGGACTTGAACAAAGATGGGTTTTGCCTTTCACTTCCTGTTCAGAGTTCTCCAGCCCTTCCCAATCCCTCCCCGTCCCATAACCCCCCATTTTGCTTTATTTTGCTTTGTGTTTTTTAGGCTGGTTGTTCATTTGCTCTTTTCAGAGAGAATTGAGTTGAATTAAAAAAGCATGGGAGACAAATCATGTTTGGTCTATGGTCTACTTGTCAACCATTGCCTCTTTTGCAAAGCACAACACCCAATAAGAGAGAGAGAACAATAAGGAATGCCCTGCCACAGAGGCAGGGTGGGTTGGGGGGGATGGGGGGTGGGAGGGATACTGGGATCCGTGGTGGTGGGAAATGGGCACTGGTGGAGGGATGGGTATTTGCTCATTGTATAATTGAAACCCAAGCACAAAAATTTGTAAGTCTACAACTGTACCTCATGGTGTCTCACTAATAAAAATTAAAAAAAAAAAAAGCATGAGAGGGGAAAGAGGGCCCAGGATTTGAGTCCAGCCATCCTTTATTGTATGGCCTCAAGTCATCTAAAGGGACATTTGGTTATAGAGACAACTGCAGGCGTGAGGGTTGGAAAGAGGCCACCTCACTTCTAGAGCTACTTAAGTAACTTGTTCAGAGTTCAGTTATCTTCTTTCTGAAATAAGAATTTATAGTATTATTTGATTAAGTAACGAAGACTTCTCTTTTTACCAGATGGCAGTAATTCACTTGAGCATATGTGTGTAAATATGCAAGGCTCCTTCCTACCTGAGCCTTGCCAATTAGGGGGGAAATAATTCTTTTATTGAGATAAAGCCAATACAAATTTTCTTAAGTTTCTAAACTTATATTTTCATCATTTTTATGACTTTTGTGATATACAAATGTATATATAAATATACACATGGATACATGTATATATATGTTTAAGCACATATAATCTTACGTGAAATTAATGTACTCCTTTTTTCTTAAAAATTAAAAAATGGAAGTTTTTTTAAAGTTTAGAGAGCAAATGCAGGTATAATTTTGGAAGTTTTAGCATTTATAATGCTATGTGTATATGGGTCTTATTTTTATAGCTATTCTGCAAAGTGATACAATTATAGCTATTATATTACGTATAGTCACTGTCCTGTCACTGTCCTCTCGTTGTTCATTGATTTGCTCGAGTGGGCCCAGTAACATCTCCATTGTGAGACTTATTGTTACTATGTTTGGCATATTGAATACGTCACGGGTAGCTTGCCAGGCTTTGCCATGCGGGCGAGATGCTCTCGGTAGCTTGTCGGGTTCTCCGAGAGGGGCAGAGGAATCGAACCCGGCTCAGCCAGGCTGGCTGTACGCAAGGCAAACAGGCAAACGCCCTACTGCTGTGCTATCACTCCAGTGATAACACAGATTAAGTATAGTATGCCTGTTTTTTCATGAAAAGGCTTTATCTCAACTCTTAAATTGATTTGAATCTAATCTTTTTAAATACCTCCTCCTGCCCTTGGTTTTTTTAGATCCCAGCTGGCTGTGCTCAGCTTCCTCCTGACTCTGCATTCAGGGATCACCTTGGCAGTGCTCAGGGGGACCATATGGGGTGTCGGGCATTGAACCCAAGTCAGTTGTGTGCAAGGCAAACGCCCTACATTCTGGATTATCTCTCTGTCTCTCTGGTACCTCCTTACGACCTTTTAAAAATAACTTAATTATTTCTAGTTTTAACTTAATGGGATTTTTGTATTACAATTTTTTTTTTTTAATGACAGGTATCACTTAAAAAAACAGGACTTTTATTTTAACTTCAGGAAGAATTGCATAAATAGAAAAGTTCATATTTTGGTCAGGTTTATAAAAACTGTTTTCATTGACTAAGAATAAAGATGAAAGATTCCATAAGCCACAACGTACACAATTATGCTTATTGTTTCCAATGTCAATACTAGTCATAATTTTAGTCCAACTTCAGATACCTAAAATGGGCCTGTTTAGAAACTTGTTTCTAGACAAAATACATAAAGTAGTTATTTTATGTTTGTGTTCCTTGTTTTTGGGCTGACTTGGCAATCAGATCAAGATGAGGTGGCTAAAATTAAAGACTGTGTTAGGTGAAGAGCAAATACCACTAATGGCAATATCATAGAAATATTTAGCCTGTCAAAACTTTTTTAATGCTAGAGAAACAGTGCAGGGATTCAGGCACACCCCTTGCATGTGGCTGACCCCACTTTGATCCCTGGCACCACATCATTGAGCATCACTGGGTATGGCCCAGGAGCCCTCAACCTTCCTGGGAAGCTCCAGGTAATTACTGCAGGGCTCGAGGTCTCCTGAGCACTGCTCTGGAGGTGTGCTCCTTCACCACAAACATTTTTTTTTAAAGCTTCAAAATTTGTGAAATTTTTAACTTCCTTAGGATATTTCTAAGTTACATTCTACTGTTTTGTTTGTGTTTGTGGCCACACCTGGTAGTGCTCAGGGCTTACTCCAGGAGTGATGCCTTGCTCAGATATCACTCCTCGCAGGCTGAGAGGACCATGTGGGGTGCTAAGGATCAAACCCAAGCCAGCTGCATGCACGGCAAACACCCTACCCGCTGTTCTATTCTTCTGGCCCTGATTGAGGTCTGTTTTGTCCCACTTCTTTAAGGTTTTCAGCAGCGCTCACAGATTGAATTTGAATCATTCAGAAAATGATTCAGAAATGAGAAAAGAAAGCTTTAAGTCAGCTATCCTGTTAATGAATGAATTAACTTGTTTTAGTACACATTCACTGTGTGTGTGTGTGTGTGTATTTCTGTTTTAAAAACACATAACTGTCACCCCAGTTATACATCATGACTTATTTCTCTATGAAACAGTGAATGTCTGCTGTATGTAGTGGACAAAGTGACATAACTGCTTGCATTGATCCCTTGAAAAACAGAATTTTGTACACACTAATAACCATGGGGGCAAAACATGGCACAACATTAATGAGGAAAGAAAGCTTTAAGTCAGCTATTCTGTGATGAATGACTTGATTTTTTTTTTTTAGAACACATTCACAGATCCAATCAATAGAGGGTGTGTGTGTGTGTGTGTGTGTGTGTGTGTGTGTGTGTGTGTTTTAAAAGGAAGAAATTTGGGTCAGAGCTATTGTACAGTAAGTAGGATGTTGCCTTGCATGCATCTGACTCGAACTGAACCCTGCCACCCCATATGATCCCTGAGAGCATAGCCAGGAGTATAAACCCTGATCACTGCAAGTTGTAGCCCTAACACAAACGAAAAGAAGTAAGATCTTATAAAATGTTGAGAAATGGCCCAGTCTGGGAGAATTTTCCTAGGCAGGGAGGTCAGAGGGGTACAAAGGCTTACAGGGCCACTTGGACTAGTGGCATTGAGTTGAGAGAGACGCCCCTAGATGAGGGGTCCTGCCTTCCCATGTGATCTCAGCACACAACAGACCTCAGGCACCCAGGCAACGCCCTCTGAAGAAATAGGTCAGGTTTATTCTGTCTGTGGTTTGACAGGTCCTGAGTAAGAATGAAAGTCCAAGGCCTTGTAACAGAGAAACTCTTTACTGCTACACTGTCTGTCTTGTTCTAAGTGGGTGCTGAGGTGGGGAAGGGGGTGTCTGAAGATAGTCCAGTCAGACTGTGTAGTTCCCAGAAAGCATCTTCCCTCCTCTCAGCAGAGACTTTTCCAAATGAATGAATGAATGCCTCCATGTGTTGCAACAGGCTAGTGTGTGTGTGTGTGTGTGTGTGTGTGTGTGTGTGTGTGTGTTTAAAATGCTATTTGAGTTTTTATTTTAAACAGGGGCAGTGCTTGGTGCTGGTGTCGCTGGGGGGGGGGGGGGGGGGGGAATTGAACTCAGGACTTCGCACATGCCAGGGATGTACCCTACCATTTGAGCACGTTATCTATCTCCTTGACCCACATTATTTATCTTTTGGTGTGTGAGTGTGTGTGTGTGTGTGTGTGTGTGTGTGTGTGTGTGTGTGTTTTCATGGTTCTTGGTATCAAACCCAGGGCCTTGTGCACATAAGGCAACTAAATGTTCTACCACTGAGCCCTACCCAACAGGCTACCCCCAACAAACAGGCTGGTTTTGTTTTTCCACCCTTCTACTTCTTTTCTTGGTGAAAGACAAGTTTCCCATAACATTTAATCAGGTAAACAATTTTTGCAAGAAAATTTTCGGGAATCGGGGATCAGGCTCAGTGGTGCCTTGCATGTGTGAAGCTTGGATTTTGTTCTTGGCACCACACAGGTGTGCACATGTGCAAAATTAAGGCGCCCTTAAAATCAGTGGGAGGTGTATGCCTTGCATGTACAGGGACCTGAATTCAATCCCTGGCACCACACCCCCCACCCCAAAGCTCGAAGCACTTCACTTGTAGACCCAGGCATTGATCCTCTGACTCAGGGGCTGAGTATCTCTAGAAGGGTTCCTGGACCCTCTGTGCACTACTTTGGAGTATCCCTTTTTATAAATGTGATGGAACAATGATCCCTGTAATTTACTGGACAGAAAAGCACCCCCCCCCCCCCAAGAAACAACTTTGATTAGTTAGAATGTCTTTACTTTCTTTGTTAAAATAGTTTAATCTTTACATGTCTTTAAATGCATTTTTTACATATTAAAATATTTTTCAATACATTTTAAAGTTTTGGGTTTGGTTCTGGGGGTCATAGCCGGTGGTGGGTAGGGCTTTCCTTGGTTCTGTGCCCAGGAATCACCCTTGGCAGAGCTGGAGGGAGGGAGGGGACCATGTGTGCACTGCATGAGGATAAGCCGATACTGGCCTTACCTTACCCCCGTGCTCTCTCTGACCCCCATTTTTCACTTTTGTTATTGAAGTATCATAGTCTCCGGCAGTGTTAATGTTTGTGCCTTTGGTGTATTTACTGCCCCTCTGCTTACCAGCAGTGCGCCAGGGACCTTCCAGCGCTGACCGTCTGTTCCATTCTCAATGACTGACATTGCTTTGTCTTTTCTTTCTCTCCAAGTTCGGGATGAACACGGGAAGAACGTCACCATCTGTACGCCTGACTTCGGGCAGGACCTGTACAGAGACAAGAACTTGGTTGTGGGACTAGGAACCACTCTCCTGGTGGGGTGCATCTTATATTCATGGTAAGTCTGAGGAGTTGGCGGGCAGCTCTCTGCAGACTCTTCCAGTACAGGAGAAGAATTTCAATACATTTCAGCAGCTGGAAGGCAGCAAAAACAAAATACCATCTGAGGAAGAGAGAAAATAGTCCAAAGTGAAAAGGATGGCTTCCAGCATGAAATCTAGGTGTTTGGACTTCACTTGTCTTGTGTTTCTGTGACTAATGAAGAGATTGCCTACAGTCCAGAGCCTGGAGGCCTATTAAAGACAGGCAGTTACTAGTTGCTGCTAAAAGCATTGTTGGGGGGCAAGGGAGCACAAAGTGAGGCGGAGATAGTATGTGCCAGGAGGTTTTGGCAACACTCATCCAAGGGAAATAGCATTTGTTCTGCTATTGATGCAAAGAGTACAAAGCATGTATGCGCACAGTTAGTCTGTGCTGGGTCCAGGCCGGACAGGAAGCCTGTTCTGACAGCAGTTACTCAGAAGTTGGCGTGAGATTGAAGCAGACTGGATTCAGGTGCTGAGTGGGGGGGCGCAAGCACCTGGGCCCCAGGACTATCTTCCTCAGCCTGCCTCCTCCCAGATTTTTTACGAGAGTGCTAGAAGGAGGAGAAGTAAAGGATCGAAATGTTCAGTTCTTATTCTTGTTGTGTAACTTACTGAGATCATTAAACTTTGACAATGTCCCTTTCACATCTAGATAAGCATCTATGATTTATATTTATGTTTTGGTGTATAAAGTTTTTAACTTGTCATAGACACATTATAGTCTTTGAAAGTAAACAGTCCCAGTCATGGGGCTGGAGCAATAGCACAGCAGGTAGGGCGTTTGCCTTGCAAGCAGCCAACCCAGGTTCGATTCCCAGCATCCCATATGGTCCCCTGAGCACAGGCAGCGGTAATTCCTGAGAGCCAGGAGTAACCCCTGTGCATCGCCAGGTATGACCCAAAAAATCAAAACAAACAAACAAACAAAACCAGTCCCAGTGGTGATAGCTCATATCTAGAAAGTGTCTTTCTGGGCAGTGGGAGTAGGAAGGCATTTCCCCTTATTGCTTCTAAGAACCTAGTCCACGGAATTGAGTTGTTTGTTGTGTTGCTGTTGTCGTTGTTGTTGTTCTTCTTCTTCCTCCTCCTCCTTTTCCTCCTCCTCTTCTTCCTCCTCCTCCTCCTCTTCCTCCTACTTCTTTTCTTCCTCCTACTACCCTTCCTCCTCCTACTCTTTCTACTCTTCCTCCTCTCTTCCTTCTCCCCCATTTCCTTTCCCCTCCTCTCTCTCCTTTTCCCTTGTATCAGGAATTGAACCCAAGGCCTCACACATGGAAGATAAGTTCTCTACCACTAACTAAGCTCTTTCCCTGGCCCAGAGTTGAGTTCCTAAGAGTAAAGTGACCGATTACCAAAATATGCCTGTGTTGTTGACCAGGGTGGGGGGGCAGGTGTGTGATTCTGATTTCTCTGTGCCTGAGGTGGTGACAGGACCATGGTGACGACTCGCACAGTCATGCACCGAGTACTCAGTAAATGCAGAGCAGCATGTGGGATTCAGGCCCAAGTTAATGTGATCATAAGGCGCCAAATTCTATTTCCTGACCTAATTCTCGACTCTTCATTCCTTGAACAAGCCTTTCCTTCCTGAGTGTTATTTTGAGAACTTCACAGGGAAAAACAGCAGCAGTATGACTGATTTCATGGTTTTTTTTTTTTTTTAGCCTATTTTTGTATTGGCATGTAAAAAATATTGATGACCCAAAGTAAGAAAGTAGGTTTTAAACTCTAAATAGAGAACATCCTAATTTAAAAGTAAGGTATGCGTATGGGAAAAAATTCCTGGAAGGAGATAAACCAAGCTTCTAAAAGTGGTAGCATTAGAGATAACTTTTTAACCTTTTATTTTTTTTTATTTTAAAATCTTTGTGGTGAATTAGTATTTCTTTTGTTCTTATTTATTCATTCATTTGTTTGTTTTTCATTTTGTGACCATGCCGAGCATCACTGAGGATTTATTCCTGGCTCTGCACTCAAGGAGCATTCCTGGTGGGCTCTGGAGACCATAGGGGGTGCTGGGATCAAACCCGAGTCAGCTGCATGCAAGACAAGTGTCCTGCCTGCTGGTATCTCTTTGGCCCCTTTGTGTAGCGGAAAACAACAACAGATACTTTACAAAATAAAATCAGGTTTTGTCGGTTGAATGCCCAGTAGTAGCACAGGAGAAAAGGAATGTCTTTTCATCAGATAAAATAGAGCTTGGATTCCCTAGGAACCTATAAGTGGCAAAAAGGGCAAAATTTCCAAGTGTGCTGACAGAACTGGCACGTGTGGAATGCCCACAGCCTGGGGTATTCCTCAAATTTTCACTGTCACCCTTGAAAGAGACGTTATAGTAAAATACCCATGGACACCCTGGGCTTACTCCTGGCTCGGCACTGTGAAAGGAGCCAGAGATCACAGCTGGCAGGCTCGGAGGATCATATTTGGTGCCAGAAAGCAAACCTGGGTCAGTGTGTGCAAGGCAAGAGCCTTACCTATTAGACTGTTTCTCCAGTCTCTTCTGAAGGTTTCCATTCCTAAGAATTTGTGGAGTGGAATATTTAACTCTAACCATTTTATTTTTATTATTATTATTTTTTAATTATTATTTGGGGGGGAGGGTCATACCCAGTGATGCTCAGGGGTTACTCTACGCTCAGGAATTACTCCTGGCAGTGCTACCCACTGTACTATCACTCTGGCCCCAACTCCAGCCATTTTAAAGAATACATATTCTTTCAGATGAAAATTCCAGTTAATGATTTTTTTGTTTTGGAGTCACACCCAGCAGTACTCAGGGCTTACTCCTTGCTCTTTGCTCAGGAATCCTTCCTGGCGGTCCTCAGGGAACCATATTGGGTGCCCAAGTTTGAACTTGAATCTGCAAGAACTCTACCCACTGTACTAGCTCTCTGGCCCTGGATGATAATTTAACTCCCATTTTTTCCCATAGGAATTATATATTCTATTAAATCATAATTGACAGCACAGGCTATGGCAAACTTTTTTATTTTTTTTTTTCTTTCTGGGTCACACCTAGCAATGCACAGGGGTTTCTCCTGGCTCAGCACTCAGAAATTACTCCTGGCAGTGCTCAGGGAACTATATCACAAAATCACAAATCATCCTGTTAATCGTCGATTGCCTCGAGCAGGCCCCAGTAACGTCTCCTTCATCCTAGCCCTGAGATTATATTCAAGGCTCTTTAGGAGAATGAGACCCATCATTGTTACTGGTATTTGGCATATTGGGTACGCCACAGGGAGTTTGCCAGACTCTGCCGTGTGGGCAGGCTACATTCGGTAGCCTGCCAGTTTGTCCAAAGTAGGAATGAGATAATAAGATGTCATAATAAGATGTCGGTTCCGGGAGCTGGTTTTTATAGTCTCTGAGTCTTGGCCGCTGATGGGATTACACGGCGTCAGGGGGCCAGTTGGTGGGTGTGACCCCCGCCTACTGGAATTTGGAGGATCTGGGTGGAGGATGCTCGGCCCAAATCCGAGTAGGCTTGGAGATCTCGGCCCCGGAACCCACGTGACTTTGTCCCTCTGCCAGTACCTTCATGTGTGCGGAGAGTGGTCTCAGCATGGTGGTGGCTGGTCCTGGAGGTCTTTGGCTGCCGGAGCCCTGGTCAGCAACTATATAGGATGCTGGAAATCGAACCTGGGTCAGCCTCGTGCAAGGCAAATGCCCTACATGCTGTGCTATCACTCCAGCCCCAAATGGAAAACTCTTTTGTGTAGGAGCAAAGCAGATATTTTCCTCAGGTCCACAGATACTGGGAGCTTTTTCTCTTGCTTCAGGGCAGGTTCTAAGCTAGCAGTTTGGAGCAGAGTGGTCCTTGGTAGTGTCCAGAGGTTTAAAGCACAAACATACATAAGCCTGGTGAATTTGAATAAATGGTGGAAGGAGCAATGTGCTTCTTTTCCTTGGAAGTTGAGTTGTTGATGACTTGGTTGAAATGAGTCTCATTTCCTGCCCCTGCACTAACCAGCTTCCACTTGCCCTGTCCTGCATCTACCTCCCAGCCAGCTCAGAGAATGCTTGCATGTAGGTACTTGTGTGTTTGTCATGAGTCTCCAGCCATTGTAACAGGGACTGTTGCACTGGCCTTCTACTGTTATTTGTGAAGTGAATCGACAGCTGGGACCTTAAAAGTGTTGTGTCTGGGGCCAGGGTGATAGCACAGCGGGTAGGACATTTACATGCAGCTGTCTTGGGTTTGATCCCTAGCATCCCATATGGTCCCCAGAGCACCATCCAAAGTAATTCCTGAGTGCGGAGCCTCTGAGCATCATTGGGTGTGAACCACCCCAACTCCCCATGTGTATTTCTGCTTACTTAAAAATGTGCCCCACCCTTACCCCCATTGTTTGCCATGGAAAATTGTCCCCTTCCCCTATAAATCAACTTTTATGATATTAGCCTCTCTAGGATTTATTTATTTACTTTGCTTTTTGGGTCACATCCAGTGATGCTCAGGGGTTATTCCTGGCTCTGCACTCAGGAATTACTCCTGGCAGTGCTTGGCGGGACCATATGGGATGCTGGGAATTGAACCTGGGTAGGTTGCATGCAAGGCAAACGCCCTACCCGCTGTGCTATTGCTCCAGCCCCGGACCTCTCTAGGATTTAATTTTACCACACTGGCACTTTTCTATGTTGAGTTTTCCAAATAGCCTTGTTCAGCCATCGGCTGATGATCTCAGTAAATAGGTGGTCCCTTTGGTCCTTTTCCCTGGCTTATCGTTGTCATTCCTGGGTTCTGGTTTCACAAGGTAAAACATTATTTTTTGGCATGTGAGGGCTGAGAGGCAAAAATCCAGAAAATACGACTTATACGACCCCCTGTATTTCTTGGCCTATGAAGTTCTCCCGGGACCTTTCCACAAGACATTTGCTCTGACATCGGTGGCTCAGCTGGTGTGGGGAGATAGCGGGAGTCAAACAAGCCTGCTTCGGGGGTCTGGGGGATCGTGGGTTCACCTCTCTGCGCTGGGCTCTCCCCTCCTTGGACTGACCACGTGTGTTCCTCTGGCCGGCTGACCTGTTCTCTTGTTTCTTAGTCTGACATCCACAACAAGATCGAGTTCAGATGCTCTGCAAGGACGCTACGGGGCTCCGGAGTTGGAAGTAAGCGCCCCCCACCCCCACCCTTCTTTGCAGCTCCGTCTGCAGCCACCAGTCTTTCTGGACCTGACCTTCCATAATCCCCGTCCTTTTTCCCTCTGGAAAGATGTGTCAGGTTTTTGTACCGGGGAAAAAAAAAAGAAAAAGAAAAAAGAAACATCCTGTGTGTGGCACGGCATTCCGGTGATCCTTCACTTCTTGATCTTCCTGAAGCAAAATGAGTCTCTGGCATGGCATCCTGCTGCCAGCGGCCGGGGAGGGAAGTCAGGTTGGGCAGCCAGTGACCCTGTTCTTGGCCCCGGTCATCATGGAGCGCATTTGGGAGATGGGGGACGGGGGTGTGTGTGGACCCATCACACTGCTCCATCTCTGCCTGTGCCCTCGGTTCAGAGGATTCAGAGCGTGTCTCTCAAAGCTGCGTGAGGGGGCACAGAGGAGCTTGGGCCCTGCCCCACCTTTGGCGCATTGGGCATTTCAAGGTTGGGGGAGGGGCTGCGGACAGCATCCCAGCAGGGACTCAGAGCCTGTGCTCTGGCCCTTTGACCCCTCTTCCTGGCCCTCAGCAGCTCTCTTTGGGTCCGTTTAGTTCCTGTCTTGCTGGGGCCAAGGTCTTTTCCAGGGGCTCCCACTAAGCTGAGAGACGGAGGCAGCCAGGGTGAGACTCAGCCCCATGTCTGCCCCACAAGTGACAAAAATGAACAGGAGTTGCCAGCGGTGGCTTGGAGCTGACAGCCCTGCCGTGCGCCTGCCCTTGTGGTCGTGCCACTTCTGTGATGGCGTGCGGTCCTCACAGAACCCCAGTCATGGTTCATCCCCATGTCACAGGGGCGGGGAGAAACTAAAGCGCCCTAGCCCTGAAGGTTTCAGTTTGCTGGCAGGTAGGCCATGCGCCTCAGTCTCTCCCTGCCTGAGTTCAGCCTGGGAGTCCTGCTGCCGACCTGCCTGGCATGGGACCCCCACGACAGCACAGCCACTTTCTCTGGGGTGGCAGCAAAAGGCCCAGTGACTGAACAGGCAGGGCTTTGGGGGCACCTGGCCTGGAGCTAGGGGGCCTTGGAAGGCCTTGTCAGCTGGCCTCCTTGGAGGAGGCAGTGCAGAGGCTGTTGGGAGGCCGGCCTTTGTCCTCTCCCTGAGGACCACCTGCTGTGTGTGGGGTGGCCTGCAGGCTTTCAGGATCCCCATTGTTTGGGGGAAGCTCACGGAAGGGCCTGTCTCTCAGTTAGATTTAGGAGCACGCTTTCCCCCTCTTTCTCTCCACAAAAGGGAGAACAGCCCCGTGTTTCCTTCTGAGCCCAAGAGCCTGCCGAGGGAATGTGGTTTCCCTTCTGGCTTCACATTTCACAGGATGCACCTTTGAAGGAGTGAGCAAGTCAGTCGCTGCTTGTGGTAACTTAAGCTTTGAGGGACCAGGAACCCCAGCCCACCAAGGCCAGCCACCGACTCAGTGAGTGAGTGTAGACCGACTCATTCAGGCCAGGGTTCTGTCGGGGCTGATGGCTCTGTCTCCTGCCTCTCTGAGGCTGCAGGGGAGTGAGGGCTGGGTCTGAGGCAGGTGAATGGGACAAAGTCCCAGGGATGCAGTACTGGGCTGACTTCCAGGCTTCCCAGGCTCTGCTCACCAGTCTCACCAGTCTCCTCCTGCCATCCCAGAACTCTACTTTAAAAAAAAAATCAGCTTCCTGTTTTGCTTAGGTGAGAAACTTGGTAGCATGTTTGAAAGGTCCAGAGTTTTCTTGAGAGGAAGCAGCTGTCTGCCCCTACCCTCAGAGGCCTTCTCTTTCCTGCCTGCTTGGACCCTTTCCTGCCTGCTTTTTTGGGTTGTTGTTTCTTGTGTGTGCGGGGGGGGCGGGGGGTCACACCCGGTGATACTCAGGGGTTACTCCTGTCTCTGCACTCAGGAATGACCCCTGGGGGTGCCTGGTTGACCATATGGGATGCCAGGGATTGAATCTGGGTTGTCCCTTGCAAGGCAAATGCCCTTCTGCTATCCGGCTCTCACTCCGGCCCTCGGGGCTGAGGCCTTGGTGCTTCCTTGGCCCCTTGTGACTCACCAGCCTCACTCTTCTTCCCTGACTTGGGTCTGGCTTTGTCACTAGGCCCATGCTGGGACTAAGGCCCCGTATGTCCCCTGCCTCCCCTCAGCTCTGTACCAGTAGACAGGGACAGGGTCATTTGGCCTCCAAGGGTGAAGAACATTTTGTGAAGTGGTGTGAGGAGTGTCTGGTTCATCCGGTGGCCAGGACCAGTTCTCCAGAAGCACCTACACAGGTGGTCTGAGGTGTGGGACAGTTCCTAAGGGTCGGTGCATGTGAGGGACTCAGGTGGGGACATGGATGTCTGTGTGGGAGTCAGTGAGTGGTACAGAGCTATTGCAGCCCCACCCACAGAGGCCGTCAGAGCTGAGCCCGGGAATGCCCCTGCCTGAGGGCCAGGAGGATGAGTAGGTACACACCCCTCACCTATTGTCTCTCCTGTCCCCTGTACTCAGGGCCCCCTTCTGATTGGCCCAAGTGGGCAGTCCAGGGCCTGGGGAATAATTCAGAAGAGGCCGAGTGCAGGGCCTGGGGTGGGTAAGGGGTGGGTGGGGGCACCTGGTGTGTGTTGCTGCTGTTTAGAGGGAAAAGCAGCAGCCCCCTGATGTGGCTGGTTTTGCTTCCTCAGGTCGCTCGCTGCTGCTTCTGCTGTGGCCCGGATGGAGAGGGTGAGTGACAGCTTGTCTTCCATGGCCTGTGGGACTCTGTGGCTGTGCAGAGGGCATTCGGGAGCTGGACAGAGACCACCTGATGACAAGGCGGGATCTGATCTCCCGACTGGTTGACTGTTAATGGGCCCTTCACATTCTTCTGAAGGGTTGCCGTGCTGTTAGGGCGGCTGTTCTGGCAGGCGAGAATCGTCTTGTGTTTGGGCTCAGATTCAAGTAAAGTTGCAATACATTCAGATTTAGGGGAACAAAAAGGTAGGTTTTGTTTGTTTGTTTTTTTAATGGAACAATATTTGGAGATCCTTGACACCTTGTTTCTTGTTTTTTGTTTGTTTTTGTTTGGGGGCCATTACTCCTAGCTATGCACTCAGGAATCACTTCTGGTGATGCTTGGGGCACCATATGAGATGCTGGGGATCGAACCAGGATCAACTACATGCAAACCAAGCGGCCACACCAGCTTATCTCTCCAGCCTCATGACACCTTGTTTCTTGGAGTTTTTGCCTCCAATTTGGCTTTCTGTATTGGAGGAACCTAGTGGTTGAAGAACTCTTCGTCCATCTGCTGTCACGGCAGAGTTGATTTTCAAGTTTTGTGCTTTTTCTGGTTTGTTTTTGTGTTGAGGCCACACCTGGTTGATTCCTAACTTAGTGCTCAGGGATCACTCTTGGAGAGGCTCATGGGACCATATGAGTTGCCAGAGATTGAGCCCCGGTCAGCCTTACTCTGCACTTCTGCTCCCACCCCAGTTTTGGGGCTTTTACTTTTAATTTCTCTTTGCTGCTTAAAAAAAAAAAAGAAAGAAAGAAATAAAAGAAAGAAAAGCGTTTAGTAACATCCTGTAAAGAAAGGCCCTGGTCAGAAGGGTTGTGTGCTTATGGTACTGCACATGCTCCCTCCGCCAGGTGGGAAAGTGCTAGATTGAAGTGAGTGAGTATAGTTCCGTCAGTGTGTGATTACTCATTGATCCTGTGCTGGTTCTGTGGTTTGCAGACACTGAGGAGCAGGAGAATGTGAAGGAGGGACCACGAGTGATTTACGACGAGAAGCGAGGCACTGTCTACAGCTATTGCTACTTCCACTTTGTCTTCTTTTTGGCTTCCCTCTATGTGATGATGACTGTCACCAATTGGTTCGAGTAAGTAGCCAAACTTTCTACACCTTTTAAATGGGGCATTTGATTGTGGACCACACCCAACAGTGCTCAGACGCTGTTCCTGGCTCTGTGCTCAGGAGTGACCTTTGGTGGGGCTCAGAGGGCCATCTGTGGTTCCGAGGATCAAACCAGGATTGTGGTCGCCAGCAGCCACATGGATGGCAAGTGCCTCCTCTCCTGTGCTGTCGGTCCCACCCTGTTTGCTTTTTGAGTCACACCCAGTGGCTGCCTCCTGCATGCACTCATGCTTTGAGTTCTCTTCCTGGCTCCAGGTAGGGCATTTTTTGGTTTTGTTTTATAAGTGTTTTCTCAGTGTTGGGGTATAGATCACATCTGGTGGGGCTGGAGCAATAGCACAGCAGGTAGGGCATTTGCCTTGCATGGGGCCGACCTGGTTTGATTCCCAGCATCCCATATGGTCCACCAGGAGTAATTCCTGAGTACAGAATCAGGAGTAACCCCTGTGCACCACCAGGTGTGACCCCAAAAGCAAAAACAAACAAAAAAATCTGGAGGCCATCAAGGGTTTCTCTAAGTCCTGCAGGCCTCACCTTCAAAGAAGCACAGAAAGAGTTCTGAAGTCACAGCTTCGTTTTATAGGGGCCACCCCCCTCAGGGGTTGTATCTGTGTTTGTGTGCATGTGGGTGTTTGTCATCCGTCCGTCCCTCCCTCCCTCCCTCCCTGGAGTAATTCCTGAGCTCTTCCGGGTATAGACCAACACCCACCCCACCCCCATCCCCCAGAAGATACTGTTTTATGAAAACATCTCTGGAGGCCAGGGCAACAATACAGTGAGCGGGTGTTTGCCTTGCACGCAGCCAGTCCGGGTTTGATTCCTGGCACTCCATATGGTCCCCTGGACCCCCAAGGAGTAATTCTTGAGCACAGAGCCAGGAGTATGTCCTGAATCTCGCTGGGTGTGGCCCCAAAAGGGAAAAAAAAACGAACTCCAAGGGGGTTTACTCTCTCCCCCTCGCTTGCTATAAATCACTCGACTTCTTGAGAGGAGGAGCAGGCAGACTCCCTAGGACTGATTCCAGCGATCATAACAGAATATCTTTCAGAGGCAGAGCGGTAGTATAGTTGGTACGGGGCTGAGTTCAATCCCCGGCACCCCCACAGGGTCCCTGAACACCTCGCGAGGTGTTCCCTGAACTCCAAGCGAAGAGCAGCCTTGAGCATCACCAGGCCTGTTCCACTGCCCCCACCCCTAATCATAACACAGACACTGTGACCAGAAATTTTCAAAAAGCTCTCATGTTGGTGGTGGTAATTATACACCTCTGAGAAACCATTGATTGAACACTTTAAATGGGCGTGGATCTACTGAGGAAAATAAAATGAGCTAAGGGGAACCAAAGAGCAGAAAGGGGCAGAAATAGGAAGGGAAGAGACCCTCCCCTCTGTCCTCTCTGCCTGCTGTGACCACAGTCGGGTCTCCTGTCTCTACAGCTACGAAAGTGCCAACATCGAAACCTTCTTCAGCGGGAACTGGTCCATCTTCTGGGTCAAGATGGCTTCCTGCTGGGTGTGTGTGTTCGTGTACCTGTGTCGGCTGGTGGCACCGCTTTGCTGCCCCTCCCGTGAGTTCCTGGTGTAAGACTCCGCATGTCCCCTCGACTCAGCAGGACCTGTGGGCTGGAAGTGACACCCTTGGAACCAGGGCCCCCGACGGGCGCAGTGACGGGCGCCGTTCCCAGAGCTGGGCATCCCTTTCAGAAGATAATCTTGAGTTGACTTTTTTGATTCTGAAATTTGAAAAGAAATGAAGAAAACTTTTGTTCCAAAAGACTTGAGACCAAAAAAAAAATTTATTTTCTTTCAGCCAAAGTGATGAGTGCTCACATGATAATGTCCTAGGTGGGTCTTATCCCTCAATACTGTGATCATAGATAGGATAGCTTTATCCTCTGAATTTTCTTACCGTAGAGTTTGGGGTACAGCATCTTGTCCCCGGGGTAATGCTGACCTGGTGTGGCCTATTGTTCCTACCCTTGGAACGGGGAACATGCCAACATCTGCCCCGATAGAGGGGATGCCCCTCGCCCTGCCTGCAGCTCCTGGTGTTCGGGGGCTATCAGAGGAAGCACCTGCTTTGAAAGCTGCCACATGCTGCTTCCTCCTGGCTTTCGTGATGCTGGGAATCACGGGCTTTGTTCTGCCCACCCCCTTCCCACAGGTCCCCTCTTCTTTCCTGAATTCTGCCTCTTTATTAGAATGTGAAGAAGCACAATTGATCATCACTACCCCTGTGGTCCCACCACTGATCCTCACTATCTAAGCCAAGAATCAGGATGATTTCTGGTATTCTTCATGTGCTTCGAAAACCGCATCCATGTTTCGTCCTTCTGGACGGTGGAGGGCTATAGTTCTGAGATGTGTGTGCTGTTAACACTTTAGGACCTTACCTGGAAAGTGGCTTCATGACTAAAGCCCACTAGACTACTTTTCTCATTAAGGCCGCCCCCCTCCATTTTTTTTCTACCTTGTAAATTGGAAAAGCAAGAGAGACTTTGGTTTCCATGTCTGTAATATAACTGCATCGTAGGTGTCACTTATGGGTGTTTTGGGGGATGATCTGTAGCACTTCGGATGGGACTGACTCACCAGGAGATTATACAAATTGTGGAAGTGACCAAATCTATTTAGAAGAAAAGCTGGGTGGAAGGAGGCATTTAGTCACAAACAGTCCAAGACGTTGCCATAATACTTAACTGTAAAGGAATACCCAAGAGAAAGTTGACTTTGGGCAGCTGTGTTGCCATTGAGGTCAGGTCAGGAAAATGCTTGCTCTGTGGGAGGTTTGCTTGGGATCTCAGTGGAGACTGACAGGGACACCTTGATAGTAGTTGGTGCAGGTTTGAAAGAATCCATTGGAGAAAGAGCTCACAGGCCCGTGTATGGGCTTTGCATGAGGAACAGTGCTCTCTGCCACCCAACAGCACCACCAGCTATGGACCAAAATAAGCGAGGTTGAAATTTTAACTGCTCTGGCAGAAGGGGACTAAGATCAAAAAGGCTTGGTCTGTATTTTTGTCCTGCTGTGTGCTGAGCTCCTGCATGCCAAAATGCCACCATGAGAGATTAGATTCTTCATTTCTGCCTGCTCCTTTGCTGTCCTTGCTCCCCCCCCCCCCCAAAAAAAAAAAAGAGGAACAAATACAATGAATGGATTCCCTAAGGAACTAACCTTATTGACAGTGTTGTGAGTCAGTATTTAAACACACTCATTGGGTATGTGGCCGAGCACCTCTAGTAAAGTTGGTCCCAGGTCAGTTTTTGATTTCCGGACCTGGAGCCCTCTTGAGTTTGGCCATGAAGCCCACATGTGGAGTCCTAAAATGATACACCACCCCAGTGAAGGCAGGTATGGGGGGCTGCTGTGAGCGCATGTGCACCGCAGACCAGAGGGGTTGCAGGAGCAATCACACAAAGAGGGTCTGGGACATCATGCGTGGTCTGGTGGTGTTTGCTTTCTGCTGGTTCTAGCTGGGTCTCGCTGTGGCCCTTGCAGCAGGTCAAGGGCAAACTGATGTACTTGGCCCGTGTGTGTCTCCCTCCTCCTTGGAAAGTAGCTCAGGAAACCCAGAGGCCAGGACCTTGCCAGGCACAGGACTCAGTACCGTGTGCCCGTCAAGTTCCTTTCGGGAAGTTGGGGTGATCCAACCAGAGGAGATCCAGTCATTCTGATTTTTATTCTCTGCTGAGTTTTAAGGCAAGTTGGTTAGGGCAGAGAGATAGCATAGTGGGTGAGGCGCTAGGTTTATCCCCTGCACTGCGTGTGGTTTCCCGGAGCTTGGCCAAGAGTAACCCTGAGCACAGAGCCAGGAGCGCTGCTGGGTGTAGCTCAGAAACCAAATGAAATTGGAAACTGTAAAGTACAGCAAGTCTTACCATGAATGAGAGAAAGATGTGGCTATGCTCTGAGAAGTAGACATTGAGAACCTGGCTTTAGTAATTATTGTAATACACAACGCTCAGGTTTTGAAAAACCTACATTTTTGTGCTTGAGCGACTTAAAAACTGGAAAACGGGGCCAGTTGCTTGGAGGTGCTATCATGGTGGTGTTTGTCTCACTGATCATCTTTTTAAATGGGTTTTTGCTTTTTGTCTGCGATTTGAAAAGTGTGTTCCTGACAGCTGCTGGTCAGACTCCTTTTGTGCTGAAAGCTGAAGTTTTTTGTTTTTGTTTTTAGAAATTGTGTGTGCTTCATCTGGGGTAGGGACTTTTCTTCTTCTTTTTTTTTTTTTTTTGAATAAAAACACTAAATTCGGGGTGGGGGTGGGATAACAGGATTTTTCTGGGAATGTGATTGTATATATACCCGGATGTGTCCCCTGGGCTGAAGACAGACTCTGAAAGCCCTCCTTGACCCTTTTGGGTTATATTTTAATAATAATGGGAACAAGTTGGTTTTGATTTCATCCTCATAGTTTCTTGGGAAATGGCTTGAAGAATTCTCAGCGGTCTGTGGCACTCTCTTATACAGGGGGGAGGGTGGGACTCCTGGGCGTCCTCATCCTGGAGCCCCTCCCGAGAGGCCAGCCCAGAGCGCTGTGTTGCTTACAAGTTGTTTGTGCGTCTTCAGAGGCTCCTACAGGCCAGCTGACTCTGTAGTGCTGATTCCTCCTGTCACCCATTGCCTTCTTGAAGATTGGGTACTCAATTTTGGCTACAAGTTTGCCACCATTGGTGCTTCACGATAACCCTGCAAAGGGAATTCCAGACTATTTTAGCTACCTGGGCCTTTCTTTCCCTTTGCTGCCTTTCTCAGCAACATCTCATGTTGGTGTCCATTCGTGTCCAGCCCCTCTTGGAAGGGAAAGAGGGTGTGACCCCCAGCTAAGGGTGCGAACTTGGGGCTGAGACCAGGTTCATCCCAGGCCCTATTTAATCAGGGACAGTGCAGGAGCCACATCCTCACAGAAATCTGGAATTCTTTAGTCCTTCCTCCTTCCTTTGCTAATAGGACTAACCCCCTATGGCTTTGTTCTTAAGGCAACCCTTTTTACTACATTTGTTAAGCCCTTAGACATTTTAATCTAGTCAAAGATGTCTAATATTGACCCTTCACAGGCTCAGAGAGCTGTTTACATAGGTCTTCAGAACTAACCTGGCTATTCTAAACATCTTCCTCTTTTATTCTTCTCTGCAAATTATTTGCAGAGGTGCAGTATTTTTGAAGTTGGGGGGAGGGGCAGGGAGGGTGGCTATTTGGCTTTACCAAAGAGGTGTTTGGTTTTTTTTTCTTTTTCTTCTTCTTCTTCTTCTTTTTTTTGTGAAAGTGAATTTCTTTTAGGAAAAAAATTTAATTGGGGAAGGATGGATTAAGAAATGCCCAACCTACAGAAGTTTAATCGTATTTAAGTGGGCGACTTGTTGATAGACTTCTTAAGGCAATCCTTTGTAGTAAAGGATCCTGGGAAATTCTCTCAGGTACAGAAAGCTTGGAGAAGATGGGTAATATATGTCTTGAGAGATATTTATAAGAAATTTAAGAAGATTGTTGTTTTCCTTTATTAAAGATTATGTTTTTTTTTTTACTTTGAAAAAAAAGCCACAAAAGTTTTATAGTCATATAATTTTTTTTAACTTCTCTGAAGTAATTAGCTGTTGCCAAATTAGGTTGTTATGTTTTGCTGTGTAAGAATTTAAAAATATAATTTTACTGTTTGAAATTTTTAATGATCTTGGTTATGTTTAGAGTTTTGATAACTTTCAATAGGTATTTTTTCCCTTTAGTCACAGAGGCAAACTGTGGGTTTATATTTGTTTTTTGTGTTTTTGTTTTTGTTTTATTTTTTGAGTGCTAATTTTTTTCAATACAGCATTAGAAGTTGACCAGACTTTTCTTATGTAGAAAACTGAAAACTTGTTAACTCTGTATCTTAATAAAAATGAAAATTGAAAGTCATGTTGTCCTTTTCTTCTTTCTGTTGGTTTCCTTTTTTGTTATTTGTTTTGGGATCACACTTACCTCTGCTGGGGAGTCTGCAGATCCCTGATCAGTGGACCCTTTAATGCTGTGGATCAAACCCAGTGCCTATGACATGAAAAAAAGATGTTCTAGCCCTTGGGTCATCTCCCTGACCTCTTAAATATAATTAAAGTTCTGTAGTTCATATTTTTCAAGAATATTAAGATATTAATCAGTTCTCTCTCAGCATCAGTCTTGTCAGGTTCTTGATAAGCGCAAGCCTGCCTGAAAACCCGAGCATTCTACTTTTTCCTATGATTCTAGTGACATACTGTTTTAAATATGAGGATCTACTTTTCTTTTTTTCTTTCCTAGCGATCCAAACTAGATCTCATGAATGCAAAGCCAATGCTCTACCATTAAGCCACTAGAATGTGGCCCCCTAAACCCAACCAGAAATGATCCCTGACACAAAGCCAGGAGTAAGCCCTGAGCATTGCTAGGTGTGGCCACCAAAGAATAAATTTTTTAAAAGATAGTGTCCGAGTTGAAAATCACCTGTGGTTTTGACCATGGCCGTGGGTAAGAAGTGTAGCCCAGAGCCAGTGGGGCTCAGCACTCACTCTCCAGTGTAGGAAGATGAAGCCGAGGCACCTTCCCGGCCCCCCCCCCCCTTCCATCCTTTGGACACATGGAGTGCCCAAAGCAGATTGCTATGGAGCAGTCTGAGGGACTTGGACCTGGTGTGGGGGTGCTTAAGGACCCCAAAGGTGGTCTCTAGTCAAGATCACTGTCTAATGAAACAGGCTAACTAAATATAGCCTGTTTCATTATAATCAGAGGAGAAATATAATCAATTCTCTTTTTACCACTTCCCACCCCCCACCTCCAACAACAGCAGCAACAACATCAGTAGCAACTCAAAAGGACTCTGGGATTAAGAAAACAGGTTAAGATTTCTGGGATTAAGAAAACAACGCTTGAGGTTTACAGATTGGGCAGTATGACAAATTCTCCCTGGAGAAAATAGCTTGTGGTACCATATTATGAGGTCCAGCAAAGTGATGATGAAATACTTCTTATGATTATTTATGCAAAATAATTGGCATACGTTAATTAGAATTAAAACAAATTTACAAATATTTTACAGTAAGTAGTAAAATCTCTGTAAAGAAAAAATGTTTCAGTTGCACCCTTTTCTAAGTGTAATATGATCTACATAAAATATTTTTTGCCTTCTATCTGTGAGATGAAATGCTCCTGAATTAACATCTGCCTATGATTTCTGTTCTTTTCTAGATGGCTTACATTGATTAAGAACTAAAGAACTAGGGGACCAGAGTGATGGTATAGTGGGGAGGGTATTTGCCTTGCATGTGGCCAACCTGGGTTTATTCCCTGGCACTCCATATGACCCATTTAACCTAACTTGCCCTCTTAACCTGCCAGGAGTGATCCCTGAGCACTGCTGGGTGTGGCCCAAAATAAAAGAACTAAAAATGTGTTCCCTATTTTTCCCCCTGCGGTGTTTGTGTGTATGTATGTGTGTGGAGGTGGGGGTAACATCTGATGGTCCTCAGGGACTATTCCTAGCTCTGTCCAGTAGTGAACTCTGGAGATGCTCAGGGAATTTGAATCAGAGTCTGCTGGGTACAACGCAAGTGCTTTAACCTCTCTTCTTTCTTTGGAAAGATAGTCCTTTCCAAAACAGTATAAAGACTGGAAATGGAGAACTTCAAGACTGCAAACGTATTGCCACAATAGTTATACTTAAACAAACACCTTTCTGAATATTGGAAGATGTTGCCTACTGACCAAGTAAAAGAATGCTTGATTTTTCATTCCTCCTTTGTCCTGCTCAAAGCTGGGCAGCTTCCCAGTACAGGAGGTTTCAGTTTGGGGAAAATGCACCCTCGTAAATGATTTGTAAATGATGTACGAGGAACAGCACAGTCTCTATGGATATGTCAAAACTGTAACAAAGCAGGCCGCTCCGACCGGTAGCATTAGGTCAAAAGGGTCACCAGGTGGTTGACCAACGGTGCATGGCTCTAGTCATCATCCCATCCACTTTCCCACGTCCCATCCCCTTTCCCTTTCTTTTGGGTGGGTTGTGGAAACATACTTAAGTCTGTACCTATGCTCTGAATAAACGCACGCACGCATTCATGCCATCTCCTGAATGACGGAACCCTGTGTGACTCGAGTGCTGATTTCACCCTGACGGCCCTCCCCTGGCTCGGCCCCGCAGCGCCGGACGCGGCAGGAAGACACAATGGTTCCAAGTCAGACAATGTATGCCCCTCATGTTTACAGTATATGTCTTTTCTGAGCCCTTACAGGTCACCTCATTAAGAATTCTCTTATTCCACCCAAGCACAAAATTTGTAAGTACCTCATGGTGTCTCACTAATAAAAGTTAAAAAAAAATTAAATATATGCAAATGTAGAAGTGGAAAAAATTAAAGTTGTTTATTATATTTTTTTAAAAAAGGAATTCTCTTATTCCTGCAAGGCAGAACAATTTAAAACTTTTCTTCAGAAGCTACAGATAAGTACCTATTTAATGACCAACCAAAACACATTGGCTAGGTAAGTTAACTGTTTTTATTTCTGTTTATATTACTGTACTTTGGTATATGGCTATACCACAAATCAAGGAAACCTCTTTCCCGACAGAAGTTCTAAAGATATAACTTGAAAACCTTCCCTTTTAAAACTTGTTATTCAATATGGATGTTTCTCAAAAAACTATAAATTAAGCTCCCATTTGACCCAGCAATACCACTGCTGGAAATAAACCCTGGGAGCCTAAAAACACAGCAAAAATACCATCTGCACTTCTATGTTCAGTGCAGCACTATTCACAATAGCCAGAATCTGGAAACAACCTGAGCGCCCAAAAACAGATGAATGGATTAAAGAAACTATGGCACAGCTAAGCTGTTAGGAAAAATGAAGTCACGAAATTTGCCTATAAATGGATTTTCATGGAAAGTACAATGCTGAGTGAAATGAGTCAGAAGGAGAAGGACAGATTTAGAATGTCTGGATGTAAAATGTATATATGTCACTGTCACTCTCACTGTCCTCCCGTTGTTCACCGATTTGCTCTAGCAGGCCCAGTAATGTCTCCATTGTGACAGTTGTTACTGTGTTTGGCATATCGAATATGTCACGGGGAGCTTGCCAGGCTTTGCTGTGCAGGTGAGGTGCTCTCGGTAGCTTGCCGGGCTCTCCGAGAGGGGTGGAGGAATCAAACTCGTGTTGGCCATGTTGGCCGCTTGCAAGGCAAATGTCCTACCTGCTGTGCTAAATAGTAGAAGACTAAATATCCATGGCCAGGAAAAGTAGGGGTTAGGAAGACTGTTCAATAAAACTAACCACAAGTGTGTGTAGGGATAAGGGTAGGTAGATAGAGAAGAGACCAGTATGACAATAATAGCTGGGAATGATCACGCTGGACAAGATCTGAGGGTTAAAGGTAGATAAGGAGATATTCTTGATAACCTTTCAGTATCAAATTGCAAACCACAATGCCCAAAAGGAGAGGGAGGGAGGGAGGGAGAGGGAGAGAAAGGGAGAGAGAGAGAGAGAGAGAGAGAGAGAGAGAAGAAGAGCATCTGGCATAGAGGCAGGTGGCAGGAGGTGGGGAGTGATGGGAGGGAACCTGGGGACACTGGTTGTGATAAATGTACACTGGTGGAAGGATGGGTGTTGGAATACTGTATGACTGAAATCCAATCATAAACAGCTTTGTAAGGGTCTATCAGTGATTCAGTAAAAAATAATAAAACTTATTTTTGTCTGTTTGGGGACCATACTCAACTCTGCTCAGCTCTGCTCAAGGATCATTCCTGGTGGTACGCAAGGGACACAAGGCTAGTACCAATGAAGGAACCCAGGTTGAACGCCTGCAAGGTAAGTGCCTTATCCACTGTACTCTAGCCCCAACCTTGTTATTCTGACACAGGTAACAGGTGACCCTACAAATCAAAGGGCATCTTATAATAGGTTGTAGGGGACACCTGTCTGCGCCTTACTGAGATTTGTTTTTATGTGTCGGTTTTGGGGTCACATCCAGTATTGCTCAAGACCATTCCTGGCTCTGTGCTCAAGGGTGACATCTGCTAGTGCTTAGGGGGTCGTATGTGATGCTGGGGATTCAAACCAAGGTTGGCTGCAGGCAAAGCTAGAGCCTTACCTCTCTGGCCATGAGGGAAGTTACAGGTGAAGCATTGTGGGAACAACTTGTTGCCTATATAAAAGAAAAACTAAGGAGTCATCGGAGTAGCAGATTTGTTCAAAACTTCCTGATCAAGAGAAGACTTTGAAAAACCAATTTCAACTAATTACTGGCACATGCTCAGTTGGATAGAACCCTAATCCTATTTCACTTTTCTCTCTAGGGTCATTATACATGCCCCCTAGCTACACGCATGCAGTGTATGAGCAAACACGGAGATTTCTGACAGTTTTCAGGGCTGGCTCTACAGCCCTCCAGATAAAAGATTTCTAGGAATCAGGTCAGAAAGATAGTCTTGTGGGTAAGGTGCTTTCCTTGCACATGGCTGTCCTGTGTTTCTTCCCCACACCGCATCTGATCCCCACTAAGAGTGATCCCTGAGTGCAGAGCCAGAAATAAGCCCTGAGCACTGCTGGGTGTGACTGGGGGCGGGGGAGAGAAAAGGAAAAAGAAAAACTCTCCTTTGAGACACTTCTTTAAATCTAAACTGAGGGTTATTCATCTGAGAGTCAGTTTATTTGTGGCATCTTAGAAGTTATATGTGAGTGGAAAACTGTTGAAAAATACCTAATTAAATGTCTTCTGTATGTGCTGCGAAATGAAAATCTAGAAAAGCGATCAAACTCTGATGTGTGAATTGTCCAAAGGGAAAAATCACTCAGAACAAGATCAATCAAGGTTTCCCTTTTCTAGAATTAGTTTTTCTTTTGGAGAAATATACCAGGTTTTCATGAGCTACCCTACCCCTACCCCACCTCCATTACTCAGCATCTGTTTTAAAAAAATAAGTAAAACTCTTTACAGAGGGTGAAGGGAATTTGGGGTCACACCTATTCCAGTTTTACTCCTGGCGGTGATAAGGGGACTGAATGTGGTGCCAGGGATCAAATTATGGTTGATTGCATATGAGACAAGTGCCTTAACCCCCTGTCCTATCTCTCTGGCCTTCATGACTATTGCAATGGGGATTTTGTAGTTGAGCAGAGACATGAAGTATATTAAAAACAAGACAATAGACTCTAAATGGAATTGCAGGGGCTGGAGTGATAGTGCAGCGGGTAGGGTGTTTGCCTTGCATGAGGCCAACCTGGGTTCGATTCCCAGCATCCCATATGGTCCCCTGAGCACCGCCAGGAGTAATTCCTGAGTGCAGAGCCAGGAGAAACCCCTGAGCATTGCTGAGTGTGACCCAAAAAGAAAAAAAAATGGAATTGCATATGCCAAGTTTCACATCAAAAAACCAGGACATAACATAATTACATCTTCTGGTCTCCCAGACAGGGATTCTTGAGCAATCAGGAACCCTGGGCTTGGTCAGCACTAACTAGATAATCTGCCTGATTGATCCCTCCATCCCATCCCTCAGGGAGCTGTGCAATAAGCAATCTGCTTGCTTGCCTCAAACAACTCCTGTTC